GTCAAGTTAAGACAGCATCACAGGGACCGAGGTTGCCCGGGAGCCTGCAGGGAGGCATAGCACAAACTCGTGAAACCGATGTGTGTTTTGAGTGGAGAGACTGGTGTCTGTATGAACGAGAGGTGTATGAAGGGGATGAGGTAGCAGAGATTATTTCTGGGAGGCAGGAATTGGTGCCGCTGCAACACTTAAGGATTCTTAATGAGGCAGTAGTTATCATTTTTGGGCATGGGAAAAAGGGTACAAGCCCCATTTTATAATCAGGAGGCTGAATGCACTGTTTTGCTAGGAGTTTCCTAGGAGTGCTTTGTTGCGTGCTTGCTGGTTTGTCAGATGATGAGAGCAGTGAAAGCATTTTGTTTTGAAAGGTAATCTCCAAAGAAAGAAATTCTCAGTGAACCTCATATTTGTAAGCAATCAAGATAATTAGATTTTAGAATAGAATAGACTATTTCAGTTGGAAGGGACCTACAATGACCATCCAGTCTAACTGCCTGACCAGTTCAGGGCTGACCAAAGCTTAAAGCATGTTATTAAGGGCATTGTTCAAATGCCCCTTAAACAGCGACGGGCTTGGGGCATCGACCACCTCTCTAGGAAGCCTGTTCCAGTGTTTGACCACTCTCTTGGTAAAGAAAAGGTTTGTTTGGGTAAAAAAAAAAAAAAAGAGAACACCAGAATTTGACTGTTTGACTGAATATGTGGATGTGGCATAATCATTTCCAATCGACAGAAGGAGGTTTTGGATGGGGTTGTCCTATGCAGAATAAGACTAGCAGGACCAAGCACTTGTTATTACAACAGGAAAAACTGTCCCTAGGATAGAGTTTAACTTCGGCTAACATGCTCTTGACGCTTCTGTGCAATGTAAACCTGAGAAGCTTGAGCTGAACACACCTTGTTGGCCCTCCATTCTTGACAGGTTTTCTCTCAGCTAAGATTGGAGTGAATCAGTACAAAACACTTAAAATCTGAAGTCTTACGTGACAGTGAATGTTCTTTTGTTGTGATGCAGTGGTACGTGGAAATTCTCAAAATTCGAATGAATGGAAGAGCAGATGGTCTCTGATCAGGAAAACCATAAATCGTAAGTCTCTTGGTGTGTGTTGCCTTGTGGTTTGCTTTAGTTTTCATTTAGCCCAGCTTTAGAAATTTAGTATCAACTGTTAAACCTTTTAGGCTATCTTCCCCTCTTCTCCCCCCCCATCCCCCCCCCCCCCCCCCCAGTTTAGAAGTGAATAAAAGAGCTTTGTACAGTTCTTGAAACTGAGCCTGAAACAGCTCTGAACAAAATATAGTGTTCCTTTCAAAATCTTGGAAATAATTACGTCATAGGCAAATTGGGCCAGAAACCGTTAATAGTATTCTTTGTGGAATGAAATCCCATGGGAGGACCCATTTCAGCAAACTGGCATTGTTTACAAACAGATACAGTGGCAGATACAGTTGTCCCATTCTGAGGGACAGCTGAAACTTTGTGCCCTATAATGGACTTCACAGAATAACTGTCTTGCTTTTGATAACAAGCTGAAAATGTGCCCTGGTGCTTCTGTGGCCAGCCTTACGCCAGTGATTTCGGGGAGTGAAGGCTGTCTTTGGCACTGGAAAAGTTATTTGTAGGTGGGTTAAAGAGAAAATAAAAGCTTCTGTTGCCGTAAGCTCCTAGTCTGTGAGAAGCCAGGAGGCGTGGGGTTGCTACTCTCCCCTCAATTGGTTTGGTGGTGGACTTGGTAATGTTAGGTTAATGGTTGGACTGGATGATCTTAAAGGTCTTTTCCAACCTAAACGATTCTATGATTCTATAATTGCTGGAGGCACAGGGAGCCACGTCCAGATGTGTCTGTTGGGCCTCATAAGCTGGGAACTCCCTCGCGCTTCCCTGTGCAGAAATACCCGGGCGTCGTGCGCTTTCCCTTCGCCAGGATAGCGTGCACGGCACACATAGTTCGCCCGATTACCTTGCAGTAGTTTCATTGCTGGTTCCCCTGCCCCGTTACTGGAAAACCTTCTGCATTTTGGGACAGAAATCACAAAGATTACTAATGTTAACTGTTTGACCTAAATCTAGAAAAGCATTTAGTTCTCTAGGTAAATAGGCTAGTCTGTACTTGAAAGTTAGATCAGCACAAACCATAGCCTCGACACAATTATAGCTATTCCGTGGTGATAGCAAGCACGTTACTGCCTACATATGTGCTTCCATAGGAGGGTGGGCCATGTTCCTCCATCGCCAGAGCAGGTCTCCCAGTAGATCTCTACCTGGAGGGCCGGGCTGTGTCGGCAGAACCCTCTTGTGGGGACCGGGCACGTGCTGGGGACCACGGGTTTCTGTGAAGGGTCACTTCTGTGCTTTCCCAGGTGGTGTGTTCCAAATGACAAAAACATCTTTCTGTCTGACAGCTGCCTCCAATACTTGACTTCATTAGTTAAGAGTGCGCGATCTTTTCGAGACTTCTAGGCCTGAAGGCAAAGCTATAGGGAGCAGCACCTTGTCGTTGGCTGCCTGTGGTTCAGTATTACCTGTGCAGTATACAGGTGGAGGTGAGCAACTCCATGGTGTAGGGGAGGTCTAGTAGTTCACATAGGACTTGAGCCTACAAGTAGACATCATCTTTGGCTGGTGAACACCATATTGATCTACCAGCAGAGCAATTGTTCGAGTTCTCCCTAATTTGCTGCAGGCAAAATATGCCAGAATAGTTCAGATCACTGATTTAACACAAACCAGTTGATGAAGTCAGCTGGGAAGGGTGCTTATACAAACTGCTCCCCTGATGGAGGCGAGCAGCTGGGGTCAGCAACGTCTTTGAGTGCATGTTTGCGAACCAAGATCTCCAGGATCCCCGTTTCATGCTGTACGTACTAGGGGGAGGGCTGGGACCAGCTGTTGCTGGGGTTTTCAACTGTGTGACCCCGGGACGGGTCCCTGGGATTCCTTGGGGATCCAGATGTTCAGCAGCCCTGCTTTGTGGACCCAGGGAGCGGTCCAAAACAGAGATGTGATGGTATATTTAATTTATTGTTCTTGTCACTGGGCAGATGCTTTGAATGCCCAGAGAGGTGGTGGAGTCACCATCCCTGGAAGCGTTCAGAAAAGAGGTAGACGTGGCACTTGGGGACATGGTTTAGTCTAGTCTACCCTTAACTGGTTTAGTGTGGACTTGGTAATGTTAGGTTAATGGTTGGACTGAATGATCTTAAAGGTCTTTTCCAACCTAAATGATTCTATGATTCTGTTCTATAATGTCAGATCTGGCATTTGGAGATTTTATTTAGATGAAATTAAAACTGTAAGTCAAGTAATAAAAAAAAAAGTGATTGTTTTATGTGTGTTTAATTTGAAAATGGTAACAAAGGCTAAAATGCCCATGTCATGAAAAACAGTCTAGAGTGAACATCTCTAAATGTTTAAGTTGGTCATTAGTTTACATGGAAGGTATTGCCAGTTAAGGCAATGTGGGTTTGATTATGCCCTATTAATAATTAATATCAGCTGGAAATCCTGGCAAAATTCCAGCTATATCCAAATAAATGCAGTTGTTGAAAACGTTAACCTCTGCCCTTAAAAAAAACCAAACCAAACCCAAAAAAAATCAACCAAACAACCCTGAAACCCCTCAACCATTGCAGCTTTGCCTGACCAAAGTGAGAGCAGCAATGCTGTTCGCCCTTGAGCTTCAGGATCTCTTTGTGTAAGTGACGGTCACCGTATTTGGCCGATACTTCTGAAAAAAGGCCTGCGACTTCCGCAGCTGAAAAACACAAGTTGCTTCATTTTGAATTTAAGAGGGTAGCTGATGACTGCAATAATTTGTGTTATCTGTGAATCAGCACAAGGAGAGATCCATAACACATGCACAGTGTCCGCATGTGCCTTCCATAAAAGGAGCCACATTGATTTTAGAGGGGTTGAAGGCAAGGTGCCTGTAGAATTGTAACCTTTAAAAATATGCAGTAGAGCCCACATCACATCTGATCTGTCTGAAATCATACTCTATTTTCAGGTCTTAAAACAGTTCATTTTATCAAGCGTTGCTTGTTTGTTAAACCAGCTGCTTAATCCAGGCTTGAATTTTAATATTTAAGATACACTAGAAAGATTAGGAATTTGAAAAGTCTTACCTGCCCTGTATTTTCCCAACTCATGAAAGTTTTGTAACAATTTCTGGGTATTTTTTTTCCTTAGATCAGTACCCCTGTTCTTAGCGGTCAACAAAAGACTGCACGTGCCCACTCCTTGCTGATGGGACTTGACTTTGCTGATGCTGACTGATACTTGGGACTTCATGGTGCGGTTATCCAAAGCTGGGCCACAGACAGCCCTGGGGTAACAGACCTGTGTGGTAGCAGGACAGAAAGAGGAAAACTTGAATTGTTTTCAGGATTTGATCATTTTCCTGCTTAGGTTTTGATTGATTTTTAAAGCAAACGTATTGCTCATTTTCACGTGCAAGGAAGCTTTTAATTCGTATTTCTGAATGAACTTCCTCTGGGAAGATCGTTCCTTTTGAAGCTCCATACTCCCAGGACTAAACCCTCTCCAAACACGGAGCAGGGAGGGAACAGAGATCTTAATGCTTGCTATCCATATCCCCCCAACACGCACCTTGCTTCTTACATCATAAAAATGGTTCACTACGATACCAGGTAGTTTCAGTAAATCATTTAAATTTTGCTTTGGTCTGTTTTTAGAGGAAAATTTGGATTGTAAACAACTGCAGGAGAAAAGTTGTAAATAAAAACTTTAAAAGCCTTTAACAGGGATTTAAAAAGCTTTATTTTAATGGCAACACAGTGATTTTTAGGAATTGGCCACTGCATTTATTTATAGCAAGCAGCAGTAACCTTATTCAGAGCAAACCTCTAATAGAGAGGCTTCCCTATGCCACCAGAAGGCTTTTGTTGCCCTCTTTCCTCCTCAGGACACCAGCCTTGGCATCCTTACTTGACAGGTGTGCTTTCTGTTCTGCTTTTGCAGGAGGCTGTGAGGGCTGCTGAAGATGTCCGATAGTCTGGATATTGAAGAGAAACCTCCAGCCCCACCGTTGAGAATGAACAGCAACAATCGCGATTCTTCAGCACTAAACCACAGCTCAAAACCGCTCCCCATGGCCCCTGAGGAGAAGAACAAGAAAGCCAGGCTTCGCTCCATCTTCCCAGGAGGAGGGGATAAAAGTAAAGTATCAGCAGCGCGAATGGGTGGCTACATCTCTGTTTGCTTTCTGTTGGCTGTTGGTTGCCGTGTTTACTTCCTGCCACTGCTTTCTTTCTGTTTCAGTTGCAGAACATGGTAAAGTCCTTCCAAAGCCTCTGTTCCAATTACTCTAGTAACATGTTTCAAAAGAGGAGGAGGTGTTCCGTCAGTTACTTTCTTGTCTTTGAAAAGCCAGTAAGACGTGCACACATTGTGTGACTTGCCTTTTAAAAATAACTTTATAGTTAAGCTGGGGAATCCTTTCCTTTGAATTTTGCTTTGCATTTGCAGTAAAAACACAGATGAGGTTGTGTACTTTTGAAAATACATTTGCAGAAGTGAGAAGGCAATATGCCTGACACTTTTGGGTGGTTTTTTTTTTTTTAATGCACTTACATTCCAGGAACAGGAGCAAGGCTCTTCTGCTTGTTGCTTTTGCAGTGAGCGTGGACGCAGAATGGCTTGCTTTAAAATGTGCTAGGTGTGGTTACAGCATGAAAGTCTTTTGAACGTGCAGGAAACAGCATTTCAGTTGCATTCTTTGAAATGCATTTGCAGAAAGCAGTGTGTTTTGAGTTAGTGTATTTACAGAATTAAGGGAAGGGATCTTCTTTTTTTTTTTTTGTAATGCCGTGGGAACTGATGGGCTGCACCTACAAGTGCTAGGGAGCCGGCTGATGTCACTGCAAGGCCACTCTTGATTATCTTTGAAAGGTTATGGTGACCGCAGGATGTTCCTGATGACTGTAAAAAAAGCAAATGTCGCTTCTGTCTTTGAGAAAGAGGATCTGGGGAACTACAGGCCAGTCAGCCTCACCTTCTTCCCTGGGAAGCTGGTGGAGCAAATCCTCCTGGAAACCATTTCCATGCAAATGAAAGCTAAGAATGTGATCAGGAATAGTCTCAGGGGTTTACGAAGGGGAATTCGTGCTGAACC